TGAGACAAGCCTAGCAACTGAAGCGAAGAGTTCGAGTGCAACCTCGAACTCAAGTTCCTTGATCTTCTCCTTCACAAGCTCACGAAGTGTTGGCCGGTGTTCTTCCACGGCAGGCGCAGCAACCTTTGGCATTGCTGGCACGGAAAACTGTTGTGAAGCGGCTGGAATGATTTCCCATGTGTCACCTACTAGTTTAGCTTTTGCAGGAGAGCATTGAGGTACCTCAAGCCGGGCTGATGAAGCTTTCTTCTTCTTGCCCTTCGAGCCAGATGGTGCTGGCTTACCCCCCTGAGCTTCTGCTACTGCCTTTGCATCCTCCTCTTCAATGATCTGCTTTCGCTCATTGGATCCTAACATCTTTCACAGTCGATCCCTTCCGGACGCTTTGAACCTTTATAGTTGCATACAATCCGGTGACCATCCCAATGAAACCCATCTGGGATTACTTTACCTTTGGGGGTCAACTTGAGATCTGGAAATATGGGTTCAGCGGGTGCATCAGGCTCGACATCACTGTCGGCTGGTAGGGGCGTCCCTGGCATATATTCATACTCATCTTGTGGCGGATGGGAGTTTGCGGAATCACCTGGTCTTCAAGAGGATCGGCTTTGGGTGCCTTCGAGTCAATCACAGCTTTCAAAGGAAAGATGAAACCCTCGGATGGTAATTCCAACCTTTTTGTTCTTTGAATTGTCAGTGCACCCCAGTTGACATGATAATCTGCAGCGTCCAACTTGGCAACTAAGTATTCACCCTTCCAATCATGACCCGGTTGGATGTAATACCCAAGGAAAATTCCTTCATTTGAAGTTGGTGAAAGCTTACCTGCTGTGTTATCGGCCCTTTTGGGGTTATTCCAGAACAACACTTTGGCACCAAACGGGGTGTGCATTGCAGGGAACTTTTCACCAAACCTGAGCTGCCACGGAGATTCACTGCCGTCAAGCTGGGGGCTTGCATTGATCGCGGTCGCATGATGCTGCATGGCAAGTGGCCACATCTTCAACGGGAGTCCAGACTGCAACAAGTTGCTTCTGGCACCTTCCAGCATCTGACGAACTTCGCGCTCAGCAAACGACTTTGATGAATCAACATATTCGATTGAGGTTTGATGTCTGTACCCCAAATCCTTGATGGCCCTGGTCAATTCTGGGAAATTGTCAGTATACACAACTTGAACGTCATCTTTCGATCCAATGAAGTGGTTCAAACCATCAACACAACTTTGTGAATCCTTGGACTGGCCTGGGTAGACATATCTATATTGGGCGCGCAGATCTTTCAACACCAATGCAACCTCCCCCCCTCTCTGAAACCCTCTTCTACATTTCTCTTGATGATGACATGATCACCAATGATGTGGTCACCAAACATTTCTGTTTCAATTCTCTTCTGGCCACCTTTCTTCCTAGCCTGTGGGGCCATCATTCTTGCCCGTTGGCAAGTCCTGCAAAATGGGTTTTTGGGGAGATGAGTATATTGATGTTGGGTACTTGCAGCTTCGGCCAGAAGATCCTCAGTCTTACGGCTTCGGACGTATTCCTGCTGAGCATCATCCTCAACCAGCTCGTCCAACTGCTCTTCATCCTCGGCTTCGTCCCGTTTGGCTTTTGAGCTCGACTGCGAGGTCGGCATTTCGAACAACTTCCTAAGATGCTTATCCTTTTGGAATTGATCTTTCGGATAGACCTTGCAGCTATCATCCAAAACTGGGACATGGCCTTCGATCTTGAGCTGGACGATTTTGTCATCCGGACGAACTAGAATCGGTTTGCCATTGGCAGGCCAGACGAAACTGTATCCCTGATCTACACATCTAGTTCCTACAGAGAGCACAGCTGGGGTGTGATCAAGCACATACGGATGCACAGGATCTGGAAGTGCGGACAACTTGACATCAGCAACCTCACTAGCCTCGGTTGAGCCATTGGCTGTAACTAAGGAGATCGGATGCTCGGCTGCACGGCAGTTCTGGGCGCGATAACATCCCTCAGCATTCCCTTGGAGACAAGATCGGAGTCACTTCCTGAATCGACAAGCCAACTGACACCGGCCTTTGGCGCAGCCGTGGCAATGGATGGAAAACGTCCTACTTCTCTAAGTGCCTTGGGACCGCTAACAAATCTGCTTTCTTTGCGAGTGATGTCACATGTGTCCTCATTCCAACAACAAAACCCACAACTTGGTGCGACATCCGAATCATGGAGCTTCACAGTTTCCTGGAGCTGTCTTGCACGTACCTGAGCCTCATGCTGTTCAACCTTCGAAGAAACAGGAACGTCTTCGGCTGTCTTATACACCTTAGCGAACTCTCTTGGACGATGCTTGACGGGGACTTGACGACCAACTGCCTTCACCTCGATCACATGTGGGACCTTTCGGAATCTGAGACGCTTCATGATGACACTTGACTCATCAGAGCACGAAGTTGCCTTCGGCTGTTTTCTGGCTATGCAGGCAAACTTCTGGATCAAGCACGGAGCGGCATTGGACTCCTTGGCCTTCTTTTTCGGAGCGGGTATGGCCCTTTTGGTATCTTTTGTGGCGGCAGCAGCTTTGTCGTCATGTTTATAAAAACATGTGTCACCTCGTCTGCATTTACCCTGGGCATGATAGATACATGGAGTCTTTGCCATTTCTTCTTTGGACATTTTCTTCCCCTTATCATCTTTATTGCCCCTTGATGGTGAAGGTGTCTTGTTTCTTTTGGGTGACTGTGTTCGGGATTTATCCTCCTTTACATGTTTGAATGGACACTTCTTCCCCTTATCACATTGGCCTTTCTGGAACTTGTAACAGATCTTGTCACCTTTCCCCCGTTCCTGCGATCGACCACGACTCGGAGAACCCTTTCGGTTGGGATTGCCACGACCATCGCCTTTGGCGGGTGCAGCTTTCGTGTCCTTCGGTCCACCAGCCTTGTTCTTCTCCGCAATGCGGTTTCGATTCTCCCTCAATCTTTCTCTATCGATCAAGTTCTTCATGGACTGATGGAGAAAGCTGTAAGACTTCTCATGAGCTTTCTCGGAGGCCCGATCAAACACCTCAATGTCGTACTTCAGCAACTGACTCGGTCGGACCTGTCTCAACAAAATGTCCCTCAACACAGCCTCTTCGGGGGTTGAAGCCATGCCGGCCAAGGTGGCATCCCATTTGTTGATGAATCTTCTAAGGTTCTGGACCGTGTCACCTACCTTGACAACACCCAAAAGATCTTCTACTCTGTAAAGGCTACCTGCTTCTTCACATGTCTTGAAGTAGTCCTCGAACATGAGCAAAACGTACCTTCCCCTGACCTGGATGCCTTCTCAGGACTGTTGCTCTTTGAAGTCCAATATCCTAGTTGCGAGGTCTCCACCGGCTGAGCGCGTGAGCGCTGCTGAAAACTTGGTATCCAGCGTGAGAAACTTCCCAGGATCTTGAAGCTTCTTCTCAAGCTCTCCTCGAGTGCACGTCTGATCATACACCTCGTTGAGCCAGAGCCATGCTTCATCTGGACGATCTGAGCAACTTTTGACCTCATCCCTGACATGATTCTTCCAAGTCCTATATGATTCCGAAGCTGGCATGTTGTTCAGCTTGATGACCTCAGCTTCCTTAGTCTTTGGCTTATCCTTTTCATCCCTTTGGGCTAAGGCTTTCACCAATTCAATAAGTTCTGAGGGTCCCATCACTTGCTGTTGCTTGGTTGCGCTCTTAGGGGAATCATTTGGGGGAGTTTTGATAGCTTCAGCGGGAGTCATAAACCCTGAATGTGTTGGCAAGTGCGGCTTGTCGTCACCGACAGCTGGCTTCTGCTGAGGGGTGCCACCTTTGAGCAACTCATCCAACTTGGCTTTTGCCTCTTGTGCCAACATGGCAGGCGTTTTCAACTCTGGAATTGGCTCATCACTTGCCTTGGCGGCGGATGCATCGGGTCTTCTCGGAGTAGCAATACTAAAGCGTGGCACACCAGCGATGGTGGCTGGCTCAGCTTTCTGGCCGGATGCTTTTGGGGCGGATGCTGGTTGCGCTTTGGCAACATGGTTCAACTGCTCCTGGAGGTCATCGATTTGGTCCTGAAGGCTAAGGTTCTGTGCCGCTGCTTCATTGGTCTTTTCGGCCGTTTCCCTTTTGTAGTTTTCAAACTCTGTTTTCAACTGGATAAACCTGGCCTGTTCAATTGCAGCTTGCTCTTCATATTGCTTTTTCGCGGCAGCTATGGCATTCGTTGCATGTTCTACAGTCTGCGCATAGGAGGTTCAAATTCGCTAGTGATACGTTGCCTTTCTTCTGCAATCTTCTGGTCATGCTTTGTGTTTGCCTCTGCCTTGAATTCCTCTACCCTTTTGTCGGGTGATGCTTGAGCCTGATTTAGTCTGACCTCTAACTCATCACCTCTTTTCCTTTCCTCGTTGATAGCTCCAATCGCTTTGTTCTCTACATCCTGCAACCTTTGCTCATACTCCTGCTCTTGCATTGAGAGTCTACTTGACCATTCACTTCGGATTGAGTCAACTACTCCATGCATTATATGAAGGTGCCTTTGTTCAGTTTCCCTCATTACTTGCAGAGCGTTTCCACTTGTAATCTGAGACATGTTGTTTTGTATGAATGTAAAGTACGCAACTACCGGTTGCAACATCGTTTCATCGTCCATCGGCACGGAGTCGCCTCCGGCTACATTGGGCACGGAGGCACATGGACCTGACCCTGGAACGGCGAGAGGAAGGTCAGATGGGGTCCCCATAGCAAAGTAGTGAGACTACGGCTGATAACCTGTATATTCCCAGGTCAGCCACCAATATGGTTAAAACACTAATGGGGTTGACTAGAACACTGCCGCTAAGCTACTGGCACTTTTGCACCAATGCTGCATAGGTCATAGCAATGTCATCTATTATACATGGTTTTACTGCAGGAGTTTTTACAAATAGATCTTTTGGAATAGACAACTTCATTTGTTGGGAATTTATTGCAATCCCCCAGTTCACAAGCTGGAGAATGAAGCAACCCTTGTCCTCACACAACCTCCATGTGCGTTCAGCCTATGTTGTACCACGCAGTCGCGGAGTTCAAGAGTCCCGCCATGGTGCTCCAAATTCTCTTCCACCGTAAGACCGCCCCCTGGTGGGAACAGAAGAACTCATGTTGCCAAAAATTAAGAACCTGGAGATAGCCCATAGCCCTGGCGAATTGACCCCCCAAGAGATTGCAATTTGAAGGCGCCCATGAGTACACTGAAAGTATTATTTATAGTTCAAAACCAGAATTACTGTCGCTATGTTTATCATTATCTCTTGCCATAGTTCAAAGGATAGTTCAAATGATCTTCTTTTGCTAATCTATTGATTATCAGATCTAGCTATATCATGCTATATCTAGCTAATCTGTATGCGGTGTCTAAGCATGTGGCCTCACAAAAGTCTTGACTCCCAGAACCAGTGGGGCTCTAAGCCGAACCTCCGCCATTGCTGAAGGAGCCCTGCACACGAAAGCTACCATTCACCAAGGTCATGTCTTGGCTCCAGAGTGAGCCGCCCAAATCAGCTCTGCTGCGCTCAAGTTTCACCACCCCTCCGATCTGAGTGAAGTTAACGGCCGAAATGCTACCTGTCACGTCTGTGATTTTTCGGCAAAAGGTAGCCCCTTTAAATTCAACATCTGGGCTGATTGAAATTCCCCAGAGTTCTTGGGCCATATTTTGGAATGGCTGTGGATGACTACTCTGATCCTAGCCATCATCTAGCTTGGTTGGCCAGAGTTGCTATGATTTACCGACCAAAGCGTAGGCCCCTGGAGGTCTTTCAATGGTATTGTGATTAGCTGGCCTAGCTGGCCCAACTCCAAACTCATTGTTGTTTCATCCAAAAATTATTAGTGCACTAGGATCATCATCCCAAATAGTGGGAATATATCCGGACAAAAATAAAAGCACAGCCACAACCTAGCATATATAATCATACATATCCGCAAATACAATCGAGGAAAAAAAACTATCCTCCACCAAAGGCTCCTACTGGATGAATACACATACTAGTTTCCAGCAAAAAACAAAAAACGCAAAATCCCGTGCTTTACGTCACCATACCCCATCTGCAGTTCCGTGAAAGTTCTGTTTTTGATTCCCACTTGCAGTTCAACTTCCTCCCACCATCCCATATGGTAGGCCTCCATTGCCGCGGGAGCTGCAGTTGTGCATCTTCAAACTGGATTTTGTGAAGACCTGGAGCACATCGACGCAGATCCCGCCCCCATGGTAGCGGGAGCTGCAGTCCAGAAAGTCTGCAGAACCATATAGCTGCAAGCCTTGAAGGACATGGGGGGCAAACCTCGAAAGAATTGTGTTCCTAAGGTCCTAAGCTGTGATATTCCGACCGTTTGTGGCGAAAGATCCAAGTATTGAATCACCATCAACCACCCTAGGTTTTCAAAGAGACGCGGGTGAATTCCTTGAAAAACCCTGAACCAGTACGCGCGCAGTGTGCAAAATCTTGACGTCGCATTAGCAATCCAGATCGCAATAAAGTACGCCAAACCCCGGGACAAAATAACACCCCCCCTAATAAAGTATGGCCACCGTTTTTTTGGGATTGTTTTGTCTGTGTGAGATATATATATATATGTGTGTGTGTGTGTCTGTGTGTGCGTGTGTTTTAACAGGTTTTTTCAGATTTTTCCCCTCTGCATTGCTGAACAAATTGCCCAATTGAGCACGAGTTTGCATAAGTGTCATGCTGGAATCCTTTTAGTAACTTAGTATGGTTGAAAAAGTTGCCCAACTGAAAGCGAATATATATATATACATGTTGGGAAAGTTTTCGCACTTTGGTATTGCCAAACAAACTGCCTAATTGAAGACAAATACAAATCATATTAAGAAAGTTTCCGTTAAAAATTGAAATGTAATCTATGTATATCTCTGTGCATTACTTTAGGAAGACTCTTTTATGGTTGTTTAGGAGAATCCCCAAAAATTGGAGAATTGTATTGAGGGGTCATCAGTTTATTTTGGGGTTGGGATAGCAAAAGTATTTTACTGTACATAAAGGTGTTTTAGAACTTAAAAACAAAAAATGTTGTTTTATTTAGGATTGTTTTTCATTGTGGTTCCGAGGTGGTTCAAAGCTACCCCCTTGCCCGATTGTTTTTCTTCCATTTTTTGTAAGGGATAAATTTATCGGATAAATAAGGAAATCGATGCATTCATACCTTTTGGGATTTGAATTCAAATGTTTGAAGTCAGAATCAAAATTTGGCCAAAAAAAATGTTTTTAATTCGGCAAATTTGGCATTTTTTAGGCGAGACTTAGATGTGAAAAAAAATGTTGATATCAGGCCTTAACTTCTCACTACTTTGTTTGAGGACAGGTTACTAATATGATGTGGGCATTGTATTGAAAAGTTTCTGATTTTAGAGAGGGGCCTGAGCATTGCCAACCGAACCCCCAAAAAGTGGTGTATGTGATGGAATGATATACCCCACAAAAACGGATTGTGTGTAGATGTTGCCATATCTGGGTGGCTTACTGATCCCCTCCAAGAAGCTGACAATTCCTAGTGGGATATGTGGTGTTTGCATGTGTTTGCATGTGTTTGCCGTCTTCACCCATCATCTTTACGACGAAAAAACCTATTGCCAGAATCCATCAAGACACTGAGAGCAAAAACGCCCCCCCATTCTCAGAACTGCAGTTTTGGATCCTCAAACTTCCAGCGTTGGAAATGGTGATGTTACGGCTGTGGATGGCACCTCCGGAAAAATAACTGGCAACCTTTTGCCTGGGACCGTGGCAGTTCCGGAAAGACATTGAACCTGAAACTCGAAGGTGTCCCAGCACCCGGAAGCACATGACTCCCTCGGTCCCAAGGATAGAAAGGCGTCCCTCGATCTCCACGTCAGATTCAAACCTGAGCCCCCAAAATAAACAGCCCAATCTGCCGGTTGGGGGACAGACTTGCCCCCCACAAAAGAACACTTTTTCCCCACCTGTCAGGTGAGGTCAGCTCTACTCCTCCGCCTCCGCCTCCGCTTCGCCTCGTCCTCCTCCTCCTTCCTCCTTCCTCCTTCCTCCGCCGCACCCTGCCGGGCTCGAACAGCAAGCTCAGGATCAGAGTGTTCCCACCCGGAACTCAACTCCAAGCGCTAGATCGCAGTGTTCCCTGCCGGGCCCGAACAGCAAGCTCAGGATCAGAGTGTTCCCCGCCGGACCCGAACAACAAGCGACAAGCCGAACAGCAAGCGCAAGATCGCAGTGTTCCCTGCCGGACCCGAACAGCAAGCTCAGGATCAGAGTGTTCCCCGCCGGCCCGAACAGTAAGCTCAGCATCAGAGTGTTCCCCTCCGGACCTCAACTACAAGCGCTAGATCGCAGTGTTCCCTGCCGGACCCGAACAGCAAGCTCAGGATCAGAGTGTTCCCCGCCAAACCTCAACTGCAAGCGCAAAATCGCAGTGTTCCCCGACGGACACGAACAGCAAGCTCAGGAGCAGAGTGTTCCCACCCGGAACTCAACTCCAAGCGCAAAATCGCAGTGTTCCCTGCCGGACCCAAACAGCAAGCTCAGGATCAGAGTGTTCCCCGCCGGACCCGAATAACAAGCACAAGCCGAACAGCAAGCGCAAGATCGCAGTGTTCCCTGCCGGACCCGAACAGCAAGCTCAGGAACAGAGTGTTCCCCGCCAAACCTCAACTGCAAGCGCAAAATCGCAGTGTTCCCTGCCGGACGCGAACAGCAAGCTCAGGATCAGAGTGTTCCCCGCCGGCCCGAACAGTAAGCTCAGGATCAGAGTGTTCCCCGCCAGACCTCAACTGCAAGCGCAAGATCGCAGTGTTCCCCGCCGGACCCGAACTCAGGATCAGAGTGTTCCCCGCCAGACCCGAACAGGAAGCCCCAGACAGAATGTTGGAATTTATGTCAGATAGGATGTCAGAATATATGTCAGATAGAATTGCAGATAGAATGTCAGAATATATGTCAGATAAAATGTTATGGGTAAAATTCAGAATATATGTTCAAATATGTGTCTTGAAATGTCATGGTGAGAATCACTCGAAGTAAAGTTATTGTTCAACAACTTTTAAAACTGCCAACTAGAAACTGCAGGGTCTGTTCCAGCTTCACTTCAGCCCCATCTGCCACGACTTTGCGGCAGTTGAAGAGAACCAGCTTCCGAAAAATGTGGAACGAGCCATTGAGATGAAGCAAACCCTCGGGCCCGCAGTCATGCTCATCATGGGGTGAGTTGTCCTTGTACATCTTGTACTCATTGGGCAGGTCCTCCCAGTAGAGGTTTTTCCGCAAGCGATTTCTGTCCTTGACTTTGCTTGCAATCCTTTGGTAGGAGAAAAGCTACCGTTTTACAGAGCTCCCCAAGCTGTAAAAAGCTCCAATGGTTGATTTTCTCCCAAAGTGGAAAAATACACATTTCATCAAACTTCACCTCGATATCATTAAAGCGAGCAGCGTTGACTCTGTCGTGGTGGCCAAAGTCGTGGGATCCAAAATGCTCTTCTCCAAAGTCCTGTTGCCACAGCGCATCCAGCAGATCTTCATCTGAGCTATTGGGTGCCCTGCCCAGGGCTTGCTCTGCGACGCTGAGCAGGCTGGAAGTCGGACTTTCTTTGGTTCTCAGGCAGTGTCGGCACGAAAACCAAGATGTCGGCGTCAGAAACATCAGCTTGTTGGACAATTAACAGCTAACAGCTAACCACTAGGATCACTAGGTGCCGCAAAAAAGGTGCTGCTTTAACATGCTTCAACCATGGATAGATGATAGATATTGAAAATGTTGGAGCACCCTGGTCCTTGCGGCCACCGAAATGGTCTGCAGGCTCTCGTCCCGGAACGCTGGAAGACGCTCAGCTGAGAGCGTCTTGAACACCAGAAAATTCAGAAAGGCTTGAAAGACCATCACTGAAGGGCCAACGACGGCTGATCAAATTCTAATATGAACATGGATACACCAAAGGACCTGCTAAGCAAGTTGCTTGAATAGCCTGAAGAGCAAACGGATCGCGGCGTGAGACCGTGTGGCTGCTGTGAGCCTCCCTCTACCCTCAACACAGCACCGTGCCTTACTGGGCCGTAGTTTCAATCGTTCAAAACGTCCAATGACACTTGGGGATGATACGTCCGTCATTTTCTATCAGATTCTATCACATTCATCATTTTCCCTCACATCTCACCTGGGCTTAAGTCGCTTAAGTCGCTTAAGTGCCACTTATATCAGCCCCAGTGCCCTCTTCTCACCATCAAATCCCAAGCACCACGGGATACCACGGGTGCTCCAAGAGGCGTGTTCTGCTCTGAAGCGCTTATCTGTGAATTGCAGCAGCAGGCAGGACTTTCCGACCCCTGCATCCCCGACCTCAGGGGGGCTCGGCGACCCCGAGATGAACTGACGGATGTCCCAGTAATAAAAGGTTGTTAACATATAAATGTAATATATATATATTTATTTATTTATTTATATATCGTATATATACACATTAAATATACATATTATGAATAATTATATAGATATAATTATATATATATAATATATCATGTGTGTGTGCAGGTGCGTAGATGTAAATGTGCATGCGCGTGTGCCTGCATGTTTATTCTTGTGTATATTACAGCTGTAAAAGGGAGAACTCATATTGAATATGTACATATCTATATATATATATACATGCAGTATGTTGAAATTGAGGCTGGAATCCTGTAAGTTGTCCGAAGGGAAATCATCTTCCAGATCTTCTACAGCCCCATCTGAAGGCGGGCGGTTTTTCGCGATGGCGTCTTTTTTGAAGCCACAAGGGCGATAGTGAGGTAAACCCAATCATCAACCATCCACAACTGAAAAAAAAAAAAACAACTCCCGGCTGGTTGGGAGGATTTTGTGGCGTTGGCTTTGTCATATTGGTCACTTTTAGCACTAAAAAAACTCTCCAACGTTGGTGGCATCCGGAACCCCCTTTCAGGATGTTTCGCTCATTGGAAAATGGCTCACAAAAAAGGCGGTGCACGGTGCTGTTCCAATTCCAGCATTCCCTTAGGTCCCTTCCAATTCCCGGGGATGAGTTCGCCGCGAACAGTTGGAAAACCCCAGAATCCATCGTGCAAGCACCATGGTTGACGATGCTTTTGCCAAGTGGCAATGATGTACCTCAGCTGTTGGCATTTTTGCCAAGGGCACATTAAAATGCTCATTTTGTAACCAGTAACCCCATAAAGATAGAAAATCGTCATCTTTCTAGGGGGTGATCTATCAACTCTAAACATCTCTAAACTTTGACCAAAGTGTCATCTTCACATCTTCGAATTTGGTCTTTCTAAGTGGGTTGTAGGGGCAGGCACTTGCATCACTCAGGTCATACACCACAACTAGGGCTATTTTTGGGGACTCCCAAAGTATGGCTGCATATGGTACAGTAGCTCCATTTTGGGATCCTGGGCTTCCCACTGAAAGTTTTGAAGCTTTCCCACTGAGATGATTTTGGCACACCCCGACTGTCATCTCCAAGTCATCCTGCTTTCAACGCCATGGCACTTGAAGAGGTAGTTGTAATCGCCCATCCCCGCGTCGAGCGGCTCCCGCTTTGGGGTCCATGGGGTCGCGACCCCCAAACGCGCTACGGCACCAGCGCCTAATCCAAAAAACAATAAATGAACGAGACGGGCGAAGCAAGCACAACTCACATATGGTACCCTTGACAATATTACAGATATTTCGCTGGCCCCCAAGACGATAGAAAGGCAACCTAGTGCAAAAGACTTAAAGAAAATGAATTGTCAAAATATGTCAAAATAGCAAAGATCATGTTTCCCCCAATGAGGCCACCCAGGAAGGTTGATCTGGCGTGGCCAGCCTGTGCCCAAAACATCATTTGCATGCGGAAACCACCCCCTTATCACCTCTGTATCATCTCTGTCTCATCCCTCCTTATATCATCTCCATATCATCTCTAACATCTAACACTTCCGGATACAGTGCTTTTTCACACTCTTCAGTTGGATATAGATGATATAGAGATGATATGTAGAAATCAGAGATGAGATACGTTGTTTTTCCTTCCCTTCCCTTCGGCCTGCCATCCTCCGCCTCCGCCACGGCAAAGACCTCTGAGAAGTACAGGGCGCGCGTCTCCGGCGGAGGCCTCGAGAGTTTCACGGACTGGGAACTTCGCAACCGGGATATCGGAAGGAAAACTTGGAAAATATGGAGCTGGTTGGTGGTTTCAACCCCTCTGAAAAATATGAAAGTCAGTTGGGATGATTATTCCCATATACTATGGAAAATAAAAAATGCTCCAAACCACCAACCAGGGAGGAAACTTGGAAACATCTAGATGGGTCGCAACCCCAAAAAATGGGTCAAAAAGTTGGAGTCCTGGAAAGAATCGTAAAACCCAACCATCATTGGAATACATGGCGGTATTAATGGCAACTTATATAGTTTACAGTAGACCCCAATTTAAGATCGTAACTTACATACATTAAATGAACTAGGATTTACATACATTTACCATCGTAACTTGGGATTGGATGTTGCCAAATTCTGCATTGCTGCATCTTTTGACACTAGAGGATGCTATTATTTTGAGTGTGTGCAAACCTTAAAAATGTTGGCACCTGGTCATGTCATGTATCATACAGTCATACCGAGTCATACCTGTTCCCCAAATCCAGAGTGTTCAAATAAGATCTGATCATCGCTTTCTACTCATGATCATTCCAGATCCCATACAGGGGAAGCCGGAAGGTAAAAAACCTGGCTTTCCGCATGGTTTTTCCGTAGGCACGCCTAGTAGTTGCGCCTTTCCCCACCAGGGCACACCGCTTCACCCAAGCCCATGGGGGCAATGGATGAAGCTTTAGAGGTCCTGATCCAAGGATCCAAGGTCCCGGACCCATCACCGGGCTTGGGGACCAGTCCCTGCTCCACCTGTTGCTTCATCAGCCCTGCCGGATCCATGGGATGTCTGCCAAGTGACATCAAGTGACCACGGGGCACAGCATGGCACTTGGCACCCTCCCATTCTCAGTCTGAAGCGATTGGCCAAGAAAAATGGTTGAACACGGACCCCAAAAAAAAAAATGTTGACCCGAAACCACTCGTGGATTTGTCATCATTCTGCAATCGTCAACACCAGTCAGGAAAGCATGAAAGCCTTTTTTTTTGGCTCTGGATGCAGCATCTGAGGCACCCCAAGCAGGTACCCAGGGCCAGCCCGATAGATTGTCGGCCATCCGAGGGGCAAACCCCCACCATCTGGCCGCACAGCAAGGCGACTCTTTAGTCATCAAAACTGCACCGCTGGCATGGTTTGATGATTCCCAAGATGGTCAAAAACTAGAGAAATAAGAATGGCTGAATGATGCTGAATGACTTTACAACATGTTGTGGCTCTACATATATATATATAATATGTGAAAGCATCTCCATAGCCCACAGGTTGCTCTCCATTCCATGAAGTCTCTCGCTGCGTGTCTCTAGTTGTGCAGTCTATTAAAGATCCTCCGAAGATCAGAAAAGATCTTCGAAAATCACCACGCATCAGCTGGGGTCTTCTTTGACCCATCCAAACGCGAGGAAGCCCTCGCAACACAAAAGCACCAACAGGCCATGGCTTCTACTTGGCATTCTGACTTGCAGTGGGACAACTGCCAAGCCCTCTGCTGGAAGCAGGGTCTAGTGGATCACGCCAAGCACAACATCTTTTCCTAGCAATTCACATGGTGCAAAATTCACCAACATGTCATTACAATCCTTACAAACACCAGCCTCCCTGAATCAGTTGAACATCCACTTCCAGACCTCCGATTCTTCGGGTTTGAGTCGGTTTGAGTATCCCAAAGTATTTTTCCTCAGGCGCGCTCCTGGCTGCTGCTGCTGCTTCCAGCCGGCACTTCGCCCAGGGAGGACTGCTGCAGGGAGGCGACGGACCTTTGATGCGCCATGAAACTTTGCCTCGGAGAACGTGGCGGACCCTTCCTCTTGTCCTATGGCACAGGGACCATTTTTTGGGGAACTTTCACCCGCCCAAGTAAAAATAGATGAGTTTTATCTGGCAACGGCTGCTTACCTGATCAGCCATCCCCAATGACTTAACAGAAATGGGTTGTATAAACATGGTATAAACCATCGCCGGGTGAAGGTTGATAGGTAGCTCTATGCCATCATGGCTCTCCCAGGCATCATTCACGGTCAGGTGGTCATAGCTCGCCCAAATCAATGATGAAAGGATATGCTCAGCAGGGGGTCGGGACATACCCGTGCTTCAGGCGAGATCATTTACCATCTGATCATTTAACATCACTATGGAAAATCACCATTTAGTGCGTTGATTTTCCCATTAAAAATGGTGATTTTCCATAGTTATGTTAGTTTGCCAGAGGGTACCATCTGATACTGATACCAATACACCAATCCTCACCAATTTCGCGCCACATGGACATACCCATGTCAGGTGGTGCCCACTGCTGGAAGGAACCATGGGAAGACCCGATGTTCGCTGCATAGCAACATATCGATATGTATATATATATATATATTATATTATCTATGTATATATATATATTATATATATATAGTGCGCGTGTGTATATACATGCGTATATATATATATGTGTGTGTGCCCTGTGTGTATGTGGCTATGCAATGTACCGATATTTATGCCATTGCGGGAACTGTGGAAATGATGGGCATTTAGAAGCCCAAGTGGCATGCTCCGACGACCCCACTGAGGAATCATAAACAGTTTCTAATGTACCTCATGCCTGATATGCCTGGTATTTTATTTGGATCAAATTGTGTTTTTGAAACCTGAGCATTGACCTTGTTTGTGCGTAGGGGTATCTTTAACCTGGCCGTTTGAGAGGCCTCCAAGCTTCAATTTATGACCTTTTATCCCGCCATGGCAAGAAAAAAAGCCTTCACTCAATGTCAGCCATTGGTTGCCCCCAGTTACAGTATATCGGTGTATATACTGTATATCTATCTATATCATCTATCTTTTACCCTCCAGTAAATTAACATAGACCCTGGTAGATAGGGGTTGGAAGATTAGTTTCCTCTAAAAAATGGTGATTTTCCGGGTCTATGTTAACTTACCAGAGGGTAACTACCTACATCATGTTATATCGGTGTAGATCTATCGATATCATCTAATCCAGCCTAGGTACGCCTCAGCGGTCCAGACCGCAATTCGCTCCACCGCATCTGGCGCCAGGTCACCCTGAGGCTTGGCCGCTATGGTGATCAAATGTGGCTGGGAAAATGCCTTAGAAATGATTATAAATCGATGTTGTAATGGGAAAATCATAGGAAAATCATAGGGAACATGCCGAAAATTCTCCCACACATGGAGGTTCTAATGGGAAATTGATCTATAAGTGGTGGAATTCGATTACTGGAGGGTATCAAAAATGTGCAGATTTACTGAGTTGAAATGGTGATTGGGTGGATTTGTGGTTGAGAGAAATGGGAATTTCCGGGATTGGCTCCTGGCCTGTTGTAGAGCACGGCGCCGTGAGCAGCAGGCCTGGTGCAGAAAGTGGAGAAAATGGAGCAACAAGCCATGGGATTTTGACCCCATATGGCAGTGTGTCAAAACCTTGTACCCCTGGTGAACATCAAAATAGCTGGTAAATGGATGTTCATCCCACTAAAAATGGTATTAATAGGTATTGATCCATAGCCATATCACGATCTATCATGGTTCAATAAAACCCCGATCGGGAATGTCAGCTTCCAAACTCTTTCTTGGCTGTCCAAGGTGGCTTCTTGCAAGGTACCAAACGAAGCTGCCCCTTGCGATGACTGAAAGCAGTGTGATGACTGGGAACAGCTAGGATGCACGGTGAAACATCAAGATGTATACCCTCTGGTAAACGAACATAGCTATGGAAAATCACCATCTTTAATAGGTAGATCAACTATGAATGGCCATGTTCAAAAGCTATGGTACCAAAGGGTAACAAGGGGTAAGGTCTCAGATTTTTCGAGCAAGAGTCAGCCGTATCACTGGCCGAACTAGCCCAAACTCTGGAAAGAGTTTGGTCCCTTTGGAAACCATCCCCATGACATGGTTCCTGCGGTTATCATTTGTGGATACTGACCATCGTTAGTCAAGGCCACTCTGGGATGATTCCACCAATCGAAAATACCATGGCAACGAGGTCGTGACGGATGTCGTTCCTTACCCAAAAAAAACAACAAACCACTTTTCGGGTGACCATTTTTTGTGAAAACCCATTGAAAACCCCAGAGATGTTTCTTTCCTACAGAGCGCCCAGGTTCTCTGATCTCCCACCTCCAAAGTTTCTGGGGGCAACTGTGGCAACAGTTTCTGCAAATTCAACGCGGCTCGGAGCCGCAGACCAGCCTTGGCTACACCAGATCGAATGCTTCCCGGGCTTAGTATGCGGGGGTAGCCAATGTGTTTTTTTTTTTTGGGGGGGGGTGGGATTAAAGCATCTAAAACCGAGGATTGTGGATTGGTTGTGTTTTCCCCCATGGTGGGATACAACCTCTGTACCCCATTTACTAACCGAACCGTTGGTGTGTCTCCAAGAATCATGGATTCTATTTATCCACATCTTATGGCCATCGCATAAGGGGGAAACTGTTTTTCTCAGTCATTAGGTGTTGCTCTCTATCTCTCCTTATCTTCAGACAAGCCATATGGGAATGGATCACACGGCAACCGTGTGGTGATTTGGCAATCCCATTCTAGTACCAAACACCCCCAATCAAGGACCCCAACATATGTTGGTAAGCCGAGGTTTGTAGGGCATTCAACATTTGAGCTGGGGAAGGGCTGAAGATTGCCATAAATTCTGTGATATTGTGTGGTGCTGCCTCACACCATCTCACACCCATGCACCTGTGGACAATGACATTTCCAAAACGCATTGTGGGCCGTGGGACTGGTGAATCAATATGTTAGCTGAGCGTTCTCCAATGTTAAACCCACAAAAAGGAACAAAATAAATGATCAACCCATTTTCCATTTTTCTGACATAAAGATTAACCCCACAAGGGACTAATATATAACTACAGTAATAATCCTTAGAAAATCATTTTTTTGGTGTTCACACGCCATTGCTCAAGTCCAAGCGGCGACCAGGCTAAAGAGAAGACCTGCAGGGGCTCGTTGCTTCAGTTTTTTTTCCAAGCTGATCTCTAATTACAAAGATAGTGAATACCCTCGCTAGGGATATCATGGGGATATCACCAACAATAGTGGGATATAATGGAAATACAATGATGATATAATGATGATTGGGTGAACAAACATGACTTATTGCCTTATTGCTGGACAATCTTCTTTAAGTTCGATGATTTTCCCACCTAAATGCCCGAAGGTTTAGTACGGTTCAGCTACGCCCCCAGACAAGTGCTTCCCCCAAAAGCTGGGCTGTACTCACAGGATTTCATGGCGATGGGACCTGAACTATGGGACTTCTCAAGATTGACCAAAAAAAACCCTCCGGGAGTCAGCTCCATGGCTTGCCGGAAAATCCCCCGGCAATAGTTCGATGATGTTCCCAGCGACAGAAACCTCCACTTCTAAGGGATTTCCATTGCCAGGTTTGATTACCGGAGGGCCACCTCCAAAGCCCCACAAAATCTGCCATCGCAAGTCCCTGCTTTCAGCGGGTCATGGGTTTGCCTGAAAAAATGGTACCCCGAAACTCCACGGGGTTCAAGAGCCTCATAATTTTAGCCATTCAAACAGCCATAAGATCATAAGGGGATACCCTCCGGTAATCAAACATGGCAATCGAAAATTCCTTAGAATTGGATAGAATTGGAGGTTTATAGCTGGGAAAATCATCGAACTATTGCCAGGGGAAAAATCCCAGCCATGGAGCTGATGACACCGGAGAGTATGTAGAAACAACCCCCTCATATTTTTGGACAAACTCTAGTAACGTTTTTCAAACGCAGTCGTTCGTTGCGTCTCAACCCGCGGCCGGTCACTGATCAGCGGACCTTTCCTTGGACGGCTGCCGGGAATGATTCCGTCGTTGTGGATTGGCAGGGATTAGTCAAGGGGAAAATGTAAAAAAACAAAAATTACTTTACTTCGTGTGATCCCCACCATGACATTTATACATTTTCTTACTGGCAAATCTTCTGGCATTCTATCTGACATATCTTCTGACATTCTATTTGACATTCTATTTGACATTCTATCTGGCATATCTTCTGGCATATGATCTGGCATATCTTCTGGCATATCTTCTGGCATTCTATCTGGCAAATCTTCTGGCATTCTATCTGGCATATCTTCTGGCACTCTATCTGACATATCTTCTGGCATTCTATCTGGCATATCTTCTGGCATATATTCTGACATATCTTCTGGCATTCTATCTTCTGGCATATCTCATATCTGGCATATCTTCTGGCATATCTTCTGGCATATCTATCTGGCATATCTTCTGGCATATTTTCTGGCATTCTATCTGGCAAATCTTCTGGCATTCTATCTGGCATATCTTCTGGCATATTATCTGGCATTCTATCTGGCATATCTTCTGGCATATATTCTGACATATCTTCTGGCATTCTATCTGGCATTCTATTTGGCATTCTATCTGGCATATCTTCTGGCATATCTTCTGACATTCTTTCTGACATTCTTTCTAACTTTCTTCTGCACATTCTTTGTCCCATATCTTCCTACATGAGGTCCGGCAGGGAACACTTGGCGTGGATACTCGCGGTTGAGGTCCGGCAGGGAACACTGGGCGTGGATGGTCGTGGTTGAGGTCCGGCAGGGAACACTGGGCGAGGATGGTCGTGGTTGAGGTCCGGCAGGGAACACTGGGCGTGGATGGTCGTGGTTGAGGTCCGGCAGGGAACACTGGGCGTGGATGGTCGTGGTTGAGGTCCGGCAGGGAACACTGGGCGTGGATGGTCGTGGTTGAGGTCCGGCAGAGAACACTGGACATCGCGGGTCGCAGTTGAGCAAGGACGACGAGGACGACGAGGACGACGAGGAGGACGAGGAGGAGGAGGAGAGGAGGACGAGGCAGGAGGAGGCGGAGGAGGAGGAGGAGAAGGAGGAGGAGGAGGAGAAGGAGGAGAAGGAGGAGGAGGCAACTGACATAAAATCTAACAACCCTCACCTGGCAGGTGGGGAACAACAAAAATATAGACCTGTGTGTGTGTGTGCGTGTCACACCATGAAAACCCATTTCATCCTATGAACCCCACGAAATCCCCATTGAAATTCCAAGCTTCGTACTCCTCCTTAACCACGTCGCTGTAGGCAATCCACTGGCTCCCACGCCTTACAGGGGTCAGGCGCTGCAGCGGAGTCCTTCGCTTCGTAATGGCCACGATGAAGGGATAGATCTTGACGCTCCTCGGGGAAAACAGGAGTGAGGTGGGGCAACAGATTGGGTTTGTTGGATAATTTATGATTCATGATCATTTAGGGTTGAAGCCCCATATTTCATGGGAAATCACGGAACATCGATGTTTTCCAGTTAAGATGTTCCCTTAAAGCCTTAAAGCCTTAAAGCCTTAAAGCACTGCACTGCGTGGGGGGAGCACAAAATTCAAGAGGTCAACACGTGGACTCGAGATTTCAAAGAAAAGTTGGAGTCTGAAGCTAGGAAGAAGCCTCAAAATTGCGCAAACTGATTTAAATTTGAGAATTGTATGTGTTCCCGAATAGAATTGAAAATGACAGAAACGGAACAAAGCAACTGCATCGGTCAGTCAGCACCTTTTGTTATGCAGTTGGCTTTGCGGCTGTGTTTCTGTCAGATGCCAATCGCATCCATCACAAATGGTTTCACAGAAACTCTGAAATGCAGTGGTGGTGTCACACGTCAAAATCCACCCAACCCGCCGGAGCGTGTAGCCCGCGCAAGTAAGGAAAGGAAAAAGAGGGTTGTAGGTGGGAAAACACCACTGTACACCAGAAAGTCAGCCGCAACCACCTGGCTCCCGAAGGACCTTAGGTGGCGTGAGAGTCGGTCTTACGACGTTTTGAATTTCCTGAAAAGGTGGGGACACTCATCTGGTCATCCAGAAGGGCCCAGAGAAATTTAAAATGGGAAAGAGCTTCACTCACTGGTAGTCGTCGATCAGGATGAAAACCAGTGAAGTTCGGGTGGGTGAGTTCGTCCGCCCACTTGTTGTAGTCCCGCTTCATGTGTGAAGGCGCCAATTGAACCCCAGCAACATAGAGCATGGCAATGAGCTGCATTAGGAAAGCTGAGGTAGGCATGTGCTTCGTCTTCTGGTTCAACAGGGCAAAGACATTGCCTTGATTGTCTGAAATGAGGCTGAGACGGGTACGAAGCAGAGATTTCCCACCCAAAGCCAGCAGGAAGTGGGTAAGAATCAATGTACCAAACATCTCGAGGGTCGCAATGCGTCTGGTTGGATCACCATCCTTGTGAGCCCATGGATGGTCTTCGAGGGGTATCTTGTAATGGAACCACCAGGTCTGGCCTTTTGACGGGTTCTCACAATCTGCAATCCATCCCCCAATGTAGGCCCCATCGTCCGGGTGTGCACTAGCATCACTGGCACCCCACCAATTGGAGGCAGGGTCATAAGGGCAGGGCTGGATCTGGGGGTTGTGAAGCAGTTGGAGGAGAAGCTTTGAGAAGGATCGTATGAGCTTGCCAGGCTTCCCTGAGGTAGTCGTCGCGGATTTCCATGCCCAAAATGGCTGAAGAAAAGGGCGACTGAGGGGCCAAGCTGCCGTTGCCCAATTCAATCGTCCCAGTGCTCTCTCAATCTCCTTCACCGTGAAGGTGTTGCCCGCCGCAATGGTCTGAAGGAGTGCCTCAAGTGTCTTCCTCTTATCTGGAGGGAAGTCGACCACGGGTCCACATGGATTGACCTGGAAACCTAACCAGGTGTTGACCTCAGATAACACCGTCTTGTGCCAACTGAGGGGGCATCCCATGGCTGCTAAGAAGAGAAGTAGTTTTGCAGTATCCTCAGTGGCGGAGTCCGTCCTGAGGAGCCAACAAAAATCGTCCACGAACACAAAGCCCCAGTCTATGTGTGGAAACATCATGTAGCATAGTCTGAGGAGGAGTGCCGCCATTCTGCCCCAATAAAGTTGGGCGCTGGCCATACCATAGGTACCCACCTTGTTTATCCACCATTCACCATCAAGTTGTGCTACCTGGTAGCGCCATTCGTTGGACTGGACCTTGATGCGGCGGTGTGCTTTTGAGACATCTGCTTTCAACAGTGCCCAGGTGGTTTGTTTGTGTGGAGGTTGCCATGCCAGGTCGGTGCAAGACGCTACCGTCCCAGATGTCTTCTCCTTCATGGTGGTTAGCCAGTGAATGGCTTGAACACAGTCCATCACTGTGGGTGCAGTGGTCTTCTCAACTGTGTTTTGTTGGATGTGTGAGTTTGCATGGCCCCAGCTTCCGTCGTAGATTGTGCGGATTTTATCTCCTTCATCAATTGCTGCCAGGGGCCCTGGGCAGAGTTCATCTGGGGTGCATCCACAGCGGAGTGCAGCCTCCTCCTGTGTGAGTGGGCCCTCAACCATACCCATATCGACCTCCTCCACGAAGGTCTGTCGAACCTGAGAGGAGAAATCTTTTGCCGAGGGGTAGTTGTCCCTGCCCATGGGTATCAGGAGGTCCTCCCACAGAGGGGATTCTCCTTTGAGTTCTTCCTTGGTAGGCCATATGCCTGGTGATGTCCAGGTAGGTGTGGTGACACCTAAGGGGACTCCTTTGGCCACCCTTGTGGGGTAGGCTGCATCTGCATCTCCACCAGCTTCTGCTAAGGCTGAGATGAGGTTCAGATAGAACGGCTGGCCTGGCTCCATCTCCTCAGCGATTTGGTAGTCCAGCCCGATCCCTTGGGCAATGGCCCGTCGTGTCTCCTGGAGAAGTTCCTTCGGGAACGGGTGTTTTCTTTCACCACTGTTGATGGACTGTTGGACGTCCTGTGCGCATCCTTTTGCCAGGTGGCTAATGGAGTCTCCAATGTGCTTGATCTTGGACTGAGGTCTGAGCGGGGGAGGTCGTCTCCCGGCTGAGGGCTTACCTCCTCCATCCCGTAAGGGTCTAGTCTTGAAGCCTGATTGAACGATGATCGGGTCGTCATCCAAAGTCATCGTCTGGGAGAGGGGTACCGATGAGGAGCGGTCCGTCCGACCTGGAGGCTCCCCTTCCTGTTGGCACCCGGTGGGTTGATGTCCTGTGTTTGGAATGCTCTGGATGATTGCTGCTGCTAGCCCGGTCATCAGTTCTGGCGGGTATCTGCTGAGGTCCCGGGAGGTCATCTCCATTGGCCTTGAATGTCCAGCGTGGTTGCATTGGAGGCCTTGCCAATGGTGAATTGGAAGGTCCGTTGAGAAGGTCGTACTCTTCTGTGCCCTTTGTCCCAGTCTGCACTGGTCCAGGTGGATCTGGCAGTGATTTACCTCTTTGGCCCACTCCTGGTAGACTCTAGTGGCCCATATCGATGAGCATTTTGTCGCCGTTGGAGCCCTACTACACTCAGCTGGGTCACGAGGGTGTTCCAAGAACGAGTGGAATCCTTTGTTTTGCCTGGCTTTGGAGGCTAGGGCAGTGATGACCATTTGCCGGAGCAGAAGGATACTGTCCTTGTCTGTGTCCAACTGTTCTTCCAGGGAGTTTGAGTCAAGGCCCCATGTCTGGGAGGGATCCCGTCCTCGTACAGGCCTGGGCGCTCCAGGCTTTGGGAACCATCGTAGGATGCTCCAGGTCCGGCAGTTGGGGCCGCCCCCCACAAATGACAACTGGCCCCTCGCGGCGGCGCAGCAGAGAGTTGAGTAAAACTCATCATCCAATATGTCGTTTGGGCCCTTTTCTGGTGGCCTCAGGATGTCCACGGCAAGGAGCCTGGGGGCCAGGTCCTGGCGTTGTTGGATGAGTACGTCATCCAGGGCTCCTCCGTCACTCCTGCCGGTGTAGAGGAGTAGGATGTCCCTCCCTTGGAGACTACCCGTGGATTGTGTGGTCCATACAAGGCGTTCCAACAGCCTGTTCGGAACCGATGAAAGCCATGGACAGTACCCAAGCAGGGACTGTCCATTCATGATCGCCGGTGTGTCAAATGATCGGCCCACTGCCTCTTGGTGTGAATGTGGTGTGCTTGTGTCGTTAGGGTAACCTGGGGGAGGCCCCCCCGGTTCCGTTGTTGCTTGGTTTTGGACAGGTGTTGGGGTGTCCATCAACCCTGGTGGGTGATCGGTGCAAGGCGCTACCGGGTCCACCAGGAGTCAACGGTGTGGGCATTGCTCTGGGGTGTGTTCTGAGGGCGCGGCGTTGCATACCCAGCCATTCTTGAGGACCGGACAGTTGTGGGAGCGTCCACAGTTCCCGGGACATTTCTTCTTGAGGAAGTGGTCACGGCAGTACTGCACTCCCTTGGGTGAGATCTTAGCCCAGTTTGAAGGCCATTCAGAGTCCTTCCCTTTTCCGGATCCCATGGCCCCTTTGGCCTTACCCCCTTTGGGTGACCCTTTGTGTTTGTTCCATTGTGGCTGAGTTGGTGACCATGAAGGTTGGCGTCCCTTTGACTTGGCTGGTCGTGTTGGGGAGTCAGGCCCAGAGCCTTTGGTGCCTTTCTGCCGGGCGACAGACTCATAGACCTCTCTGGTCCAAAACAGGGTGTCCTGACGTAGTTGGGCCATGGCCTCCTTGAGGCCCAGTCCCCCGTAGACCAAGTTGTGGATCTCCCTCCATGCGTTCCTTTCAGCGTAGAGGAGAACTTGTTCACTGGGGGGCGGTCGCCTGTCCGCAATGTCTTTCCCCCAGAACCATCGGTACCAGTCCTCTAGGTCCCTATGGGTGATGTTCAGCTTCGGCATGCTGGGAAAAGAGAGGATGGCCATGAGGAGGTTGGTTCGAAAGACCAGGTGCATGTGCTCCAACTGACGCCTCGTAGTTGGGAGTTTCCGTGTCTCCTCCTCTTCTTCCTTTTCCCATCCATCGACTGTCACCTTCTTGGTGGTCTTGATAGGCCGCTCATCCTGGTCTGGTAGGGCTGATATGATGTACTTGCTGGCAATCCAACCAACTTCTCCTTGCGCACAGAGTTTGAACTGTTTCTTCAACAAGGCATCGGAGCCTTGATCCTCCAATCGTGGGAGTGGGAGCTGAACGACCACCGTCCATGTCTGCAGGAGCTGGCGTCGATCACACAGGGCATCCAGTGAGGGCGCCGCCTGAGACGTCGTCGGCAGTAGCCCTGCAGGCCCCACTCGGCCCTGGTTCAGGCCCCCAGTGCCCAACAACTGTTGTGCTTGACGGACACATTGTGAGATGCGCATGGCCAAGTGATTTGTCTTCTCTTGTGTGATCAAAGCTCCCCCACGGTCTGTGTGACGGAACTGGAGGTCTGCTG